GACTGTGGCAATCAAATGTTAAGGAACTGAGCATGCTGCGCACTTCCCCTCCAACATCCCATAAATTAATACAACAGTGGATGAAAACCAATTGTTACTCAACCATACTCAATGGTGAGAAGGAATAGCTTTCTGCAGGGGATGAGATTACACACATATCCTGAGCCGCTAATGAGCTACAGAAGAAAATCCATGCTAGCATTTGGTTTGATCTTAGATTGTACTTTGGAAGAAAGGAAGCAATGTAACCCGCCCTCAGGCTACCTAACATGAGCATGGATGACAAAACCAGGTTTGTTTCTGTATTCACCTTGGGCTGCACTGCCTCCTTCTGGTTCATCAGCTGAGACCTCAGGATGAGAACCTCCTCCTTGCGGACCTCCAACTCTTCACTGACAGATGTCATCTGGTCCAAAAGGACCCTGTATGCTGGAGCACCAGGCATGGTGACATCTGGAGCACTCTTTTCCATCAGAGCCTTTCTCAACTCGTTCAATTCGTTCTTCAGTTTTTTATTCTCTGACTCGAGCTCTTGACGCTGCGGGCGATAAAAACAATTGTCCTCATTCACCAACTGTCCTAATAGAAATCAAGATCAAGATCAAGAAGCCAATTTTAGTTACTAATGGGTTTGATAAAAGATGTTCTGACTTTTATGTATATCACAAACAAAGGTCTACTTTAATCCAGGTGAAAACCCCTGTGGTTTCCAGTTAATGAATTCTGTGAATTGATGAACTGATTAAGTCAGAACAGACCTGTCTTTGTGTTTATATTGCCTGGATATTTTTTTTTCCACGCAGAAGGAATGGCAATCCGTTAAAATGCACAGGATGGAAACATTTAGACCAGGGTTTTTCCAAACTTGGTGACTTCAACTTTGTCCACTGTGTGGACTTCGACTCCCAGAATTCTCCAGCCAGCCAGGTTCCTGGGAGTTGAGCTCCACATATCTTAAAGTTGCCAAGCTTGAAAAACACTGACTTAAAACATGCCAAGAGGGGAAAAATTGTCTAGAAATGTTGGTACTTCCAGGTATACTGATGATTACAAATTCCACGTACTTTTGTAAGTGTGCCTCAGTCTAATAATTAAAATAACCAAAGCACTACTGGCTTCCAGCTTCCATATCTACTGGTACTGTAGTATGGACATGAAGCATTAGGATTTTTTTTTTTTAAAGTTCAGTAAATACCATTTACTAATAATAATAATGATGATAAAGTTGGAAGGGACCTTGGAGGTCATCTAGTCCAACCCCCTGCTCAGGCAGGAAACCCTATACCACTTCGGACAAATGGCTGTCCAGTCTCTTCTTAAAAATTTCCAGTGTTGGAGCATTCACCGCTTCTGGAGGCAGGTTGTTCCACTGGTTAATTGTTCTGTCAGGAAGTTTCTCCTTAGTTCTAGGTTGCTTCTCTCCTTGGTTAGTTTCCACCCGTTGCTTCTTGTCCTGCCTTCAGGCGCTTTGGAGAACAGCTTGACTCCCTCTTCTTTGGGGCAGCCCCTGAGATACTGGAAGACTGCTATCATGTCCCCCCTAGTTCTTCTCTTCATTAAACTAGACATACCCAATTCCAGCAACTGTTCCTTATATGTTTTAGCCTCCAGTCCCCTAATCATCTTTGTTGCTCTTCTCTGCACTCTTTCTAGAGTCTCAACATCTTTTTTACATCGTGGTGACTTCTAATTTAGCCTACTTTGGGGGTAATGCATAGGATTCAGGGATCCCAAAAAGAATGCTTTTCACAACCTTAAGCGATTCGTATTCCAGCTCTACTCCTCTCATCTGAGGCCTTTCTTCCTCCTGGAAAAATTCAAAGCACAAAGAAAAATATTGCACTTTTAGAAACAGAACATTCCAGACATTATCAAGAGGAAACCGATATTTCAATGATGTCTCCGTATTCATTTTTAGATCATCGGTCACGCTTATTTAATGTTTAAACTTTTAAAGGATGAACAGAATTCTGTAGCCAATCCAAGAGAGAAAGGCAGATGATTTGGCAAAAGTTACAATGACTAAAAACACTACTGGTAGCTCTGCTGACTGTATCAACATTAAGATAAAGAGTAAAATATTCCTCAAATTTTGTAAGGTCATGAGACAAAATACCAGAGGGGAAAAAAATAATATTCTATCCTGCTTCTAACACCAATAGATCAAACCTACAAAAATTAAGGAGTGGACAACTGCAAGAAAGCACTAGTTGTGTTTTGTGTGTTCCTTAGTTTGCTTTGGAGGGTTCTTGGTACTCTCTGAGCTTGATGGCTTTCTTGCAGACATTTCATTACCCAGCTAGATAATATCATCAGTGCTACAAGGGTGTGGGGTTTATGGGCCCTTCTAGCACTGATGGTGTTACCTTGTTTGGGTCATGAAATGTCTGCAAGAAAACAACCAGGCTCAGAGATCATCCCTCATTTTAACCATGAGCTACAAATATTCAGCCAGTCCTAGAGGAGATCAACCCCGACTGCTCTTTAGAAGGCCAGATCCTGAAGTGAAACTCAAATAGTTTGGCCACCTAACAAGAAGGAAGGACTCACTGGAGAAGAGCCTGATGCTGGGAAAGATGGAGGGCAAGAGAAGAAGGGGATGACAGAGAATGAGATGGCTGGATGGAGTCACTGAAGCAGGAGGCGTGAGCTTAAATGGACTCCAGAAGATGGTAGAGGACAGGAAGACCTGGAGGAACGTTGTCCATGGAGTCGCGATGGGTCGGATACGACTTCGCAACTAACAACAACAACAACAAATATTCTCCTTTATTTCAGAATTTTCCCCAGGAGGGAATCATGGACCCAACTTCCACCTGCTGAATGGAATACCATCACTGGCATAGGATCCCAACTATCACCATCACCTGGACCAGAAGATGCGTGGTCTTTTCCATCTTACCTTGGCCTTGGCCCGGAGAACTTGGTCCTCCTTCTTCTCTAGCTCATCCTGCAGGGACTGCTTTTCTAGCTCCAGCTCCTTCACTCGTTTTTGTAGCTTGAGGAAGAGAGACATGTCCAAAGGTGCCTTTTTCTCACTCGGTTCCTGGTTTACAGGGCAAAAGGGGGAAGGGGGAAGATTAGAAAGTTTCCAAGCTACTGAAGGAGGGGCAGACCTACATGCGGTTTGTAATCGTGAAGAAAAAGATGAAAGCATATGGAAATAAGGAAAACAGGGTCCACAATGTAGAGAATCTATAGTGGCAGCAACATTGGAGCAGCAGTTGGAAAATCTCTATCAAGAACAAACCCCAAGTTGGCTTTAAATGAATTATGTCAACGTGCGAAACTTAGCAAGCATAAATGAAAAGACGTGACGGGGAATATGTACATTTTACTTGTTTAAAAGTGCTGCATCTTGATGTTACTTTTTTTTTTCAAATTGTTACTGTAGAAGTCAAAAAAATTCAAAAGGTCAGTCTGATAAACAAAGCTAATTTTAAAAGTATCGGTCCTAAAGCTTTAAAAAAATGAAACTTAGTACACAATTTAAGGTCCACAATCAACCATCGGTTGACTATGGCTTTCTGCCTTGTTTTTACGGAAAGAAAAAAAAAACAGGTTGACAGTTAAGACTCAAATACAAAATATGAGCACACTAGGTTTTTCTTCATTTTATAATATTGAGATATTTTAAAACATGGTTTAAAAATCTGGCTCAGCCATCAAGTACTTAGTATACTAGAACATTTCTGGATATTCAAAAATGATCTCCAGAATTGATTTGTTACGTAATGACAAGATCTGTATCCCGAGCCAGGAAAACTAACAAACAAATAACAAAATTTCCCAACCTTACCTCTGTTCCCATTGGTTCCCATTCAGCCTCAGCTATCTCAGAGCTGTAAGTATATTCTGATTCATTGCTACTATGGGTGGAATCCGTTCTCTTGTGCCCTGGCTTGGAAACCGTCTGGAAAGAGAATGAGCGCCAGCATTAACTTTGCTGCTTCCACGGGTTAAATGTTTCCTGTACTGTCATTGCTTCATCTTTTGAAGGGGAGGAAATTTAGAAAACTTATAGAGAAAAACGAAGAGTTTTGATGAATAAAGACAGGCAAAGGAGCAGCAAGAAGGAACACGATTCAGGATGCCCTCTCTATTCACTATATTCACAATCGGATGGATGGATGGATGGATAGATGGATGGATGGATGGATGGACTGATAAAAGGATGCCCTCCCCATTCACTATGGTTATAATCTGAGATAGATAGATAGATAGATAGATAGATAGATAGATAGATAGATAGATAG